CTTTTCGAACAATTTGTGGATGGAGATTTTGTTGTCATTTGACATTACTTCCGATATATTATGCACTGTCACATATAAATCTGTCCTTATAAAATTTAAATCAATTAAACTGATCATGATTGGGATATTTGACAGATCTTTTGTAGTAAGTAAACAATTTATGTCCCATATATATCAGGGTTTTTTTTCTTTTTGTGTTCTAACAGACTTCATTGTTTTATGACCGTAAATAATTCATTTGAAGTTTTAGTAAAAATTAAAAAAATCTTACATACACCAATCAAATTTACTGGAGAGCAACATCTAGAATAAGGCAAGTCGGGATCCAATACTGATGTTTCTTTCAACTCCTTGAATTTTGAAAACAATGAACACAAATGAAAACTAAAATATATATTCCCACTAAAAAAGTATTTATAACTATACAATCTAACTGAAAAAGAAGAGCACAGGGCGGCAGTGTTGTATTCGAGTAATATTGCAAGGAAAATCATTTCAATTCCTTAATATAAAAATAAATTGATAGGAATTAGAGAAACTCGGTTTGCGAGCACATCTTAAATCCATTTGAACTTATTTACAAATATTGAAAGTTTTCGGGGGATGGAGTAGATAAAACTGCAAGTCAAACAAACATAACAAAGAATGCGTCTGCCAGTATTGGAATAATCTGGGTTAAAGAGTCTTAAATAAAAGTTATATAGCTGAAAAATATAAAAACAGTTGCATAGAAATATTCAAACCTGATGATACCTTACATCCGAAAATGTTGGATAATTGTGTCGTTAGTTTGTTGTCTTGTATTTTTTTTCCCATTTAAGCTCCATGTATGCAATTAACAGGAATTTACACTTCACTTGCTAATTCTGTTCATATACTGAGCTTAAGAAGATAAATATTAGAAAAGATTGGCAACATAAACGATCAGATATAGCTTATAGACAAAAAACATATGTAAGTAGCTGAATGTGTTGACAGAACAACGATTGATAGACACATGCTGGTAGTTAGTTTTGGTAGTAGTTGGTCAGAGACCAGAAGAGCTCTGTCTGTTCGTATGTTTGTCTGTAAACAATTTTGCAAAATGCTACTCCTCCTACAGTTTTGGTCCGATTTCAATATAACTTTGTACACAAATAGACTACAATAAGATACTTAATTCTATTAATCGCTTTTTGATTTCCATGAACGGTGTTGCCATGGTTACTAAAATAGAAATTTCTGAGAAATACTTTCAAAACACTACTACTCCTACAGTTTTGGTCTGATGCCACCTCTGATGTTTTAGAGGTCCCTGTTTGCTCTGCTCCAAAATTTGTATTGTTTAATGGACTTTTTAAAAAGCATTAAAAAGCCTAGAATTTAAAAAAAAAAAAAAACTGGCCATACAAGCTAATGGTGAGCAATCAGCCAAATATAATGAATTGATGAATTAGGGAAAATGGGTCACTTGAACAATTTATCAAAAGTAAAAATATAAGATCAATCGATCCAGACATGCAATTTCATTGCTCCACTCAATATGGCTTTTGATAACGTTATTCCCAGGTGAGCAATTAATCTGATCATTTTTATCACTCAAATAATTATACAGTTTGCTCACCATGGCATAATTTGTGTTTGAAAATATCATTTCATCTTCTGCATGTAAGATCAAAAACTTTAATACATTTACATTTACAGGAAATACAATTAATTGTCTTTGAACAGTAACAATCCCTCCAATATTAGATAATGTGCATTATTGAAATAGAAATACGTGTAAGTTAATTGTCATTGGAAACAAAAATCGGTTACACTGGCAACATAATTTCAGCCCATATGACCGTAAATAATATTTCACCATGTGAGTGACAGCTATTGGACTCACAGCATGCTTAACCCTGGCATACACCCTGGACATTAGTTATCTCTCTGCCATAGAGAAGCCTTTTCATGTGACTTTGTAACAGGTCCACATAAAAAGGTATGTCACAAGATTATTACCAGCCTTACCAAAATACAATGAATAGAGTTTTACCGTTTTGTGAATTATGAAATCCAGTGCATCTCTGATGTTACTCTCAGTGAGGGGGGAACACTAGCTGCCGGGGGGGGGGGGGTTAAAACTTTAACCTGGTAATATATATTTGAAAAATAAAATGTATAAAACTCTTCTTTTCGACTTTTTTTCTTTTACAAAAGTTTGTAAAATCAAAACTTATGATTTTCAACACTTTAAACAACCATTCTTTACGGTAAATTAAAAACTAGGCTTTTTGATATCATAGACATCTGCTTCTTCAATTAAATGGAACTCGCAATTTTTCTTATCATGTGATTTGGCATCAACAAAATTACTTTGGTAAAAATCACTCTGATTCTACACACAAGCACTCTGCAGGTGCTGGAGTTCCTCATTGACCACATCTATATAGTCTTTAGAGACCAGGTCTCTAACAATGAAATATATGGAGATAACGAACAGTATTCAAGCTCAAAAGTCCATTAAACAATACAAAATAGGAGCAGAGCAAACACGGACCTCCAAACATCAGAGGTGGGATCAGGTGCCAATCGAATATCAAATCGAATCAACTGAGAGATATACACCCCGTATACAGGTGATGAAGGTATATTGCTGCATAAGTAAGGGAAGTTGACGATTGAAAAGTTAAAGTCATCACGTTTTATCATAAAGCTTAATTGTACATACGTAGAGCATAAACAATCTGTTGGAATTTCAATTGACATTAATTGTGCTCCTGTATTAGCCGACCTCTTTTTTTATTCCTATGAAGCAGAATTTACCGGTATCTAGAAACTTCTTAATGAGAAAAAAACAAAAAACAAACACTTGCTATGGCCTTCAACTCATTCAGATATATCGACGATGTTTTATCTATTAACAATAGTTATTTCCATTCATATGCCGACTAGATATATGCTTGTGAAATCGATATAAATTAAATGACACCTCAGAGTCTGTAACATCTGTTTCATATTTGGATGTTTAATTGGCTATAGACGATAAAGGCTAATTAACAACTATACTGTATGACAAACGAGATGACTTCAGATTTTCCATCGTCTACTTTCCTTATTTATGTATAAATATTTTCCACTATCATCTGCAAATGGTTTTTATGTCTCCTAACTTATTCGATACTCAAGAGTATGCTCCGTTTACCATTTTTAAACAGAGGCAGACTACTGTTAGATACGTTGATGTTAAAGGAATATCAACAACCTCGTTGAAAGTCAGCATTTCGTAAATTCTATGATCGTTATAATGACCTTGTTAACAAATATAACATATCATGGGTATTTTATCAAACATATTTCATACCAATTGTTAGGCCTTTGTTTTTATATTAAATTAGGCTACGGAATAGTCCGTCTACCTGTAAAATACATAGGGCTCACGGCGGGTGTGACTGGTCGACAGAGGATGCTTACTCCTTCTAGGCACCTGATCCCACCTATGAAATTTCCGTGTTTTATACCCTGTTCAAAGATTTGTTTTGTTAATCATATAACACATACTCAATATATGTATATGACCAATCCGTTGGAATGAACCCCATCTTCCATCCTTCTGAAATGTGGATCATAAGGGGGGATTTCCATTTTTGCAGAGGTTTCATTGCTCATTGTTGGCATGCCTATTCAATGCGGATTCAGATGTCCAGTAAAAAATATATTTTTTTAAAAATTTAACAAATTATCCGCTTTGGACATCATTATGCCGGGAATGTGTATTCCAAAATTATTAATTGTGAGCTTGTTTTCTAATTTTAAAGTTTACAGTGTATATCAGCAAAACAACTACGAAAAGTTTTAAAGACAGTACCTGCAATTTTCATCCAACCTCTCGGCTCCAATACTGTAGAAGCAATTGAAGTTCGCAATTAATATCATTCCAAGTGTCATATATTAAACTTAAGATTTAATCCGCATTGTCAAAGGGTAATTCATGATTCGTATCATATCATAAAACCAATTTTCAGATTTTTGTATATTTTCCTCGTAGAGGATGTGAAAGTTATTATTGAAGGTTATGTATAATCAGTTCAAAGTCTCATGCTCCAAACATGATTTTAGTAAACTCGAAAATGTTAACGTCTTGACGAATAAATTATTTAAACGTAATTAAGTATTTCTTTGTATAGATTTATTATTTAAATTTTTGATTATCATTTAAATTTTTTCATATGTTCTTGAAAAAAATCCTAACGTGTATATAATTAAATATTTTTTAATCTTCTTTACAACACCAATTTATCCCCACCAAAATTTTGACAAGTTTCCTCGAGAGTTCAAAATTAATTAATATATTGCAATCAATTTAACAACTAAGAAGACAAATGAACCTTTGACTAAGGGTAAACAATTTCTAAACCTTGTCGAGGGATTTCATCTCGTTATTGCTATGCAACATTATGTGTGTAAGATGCTCATTTAAATACTGTTATTGGCTCTATGTTTTCACCGCCCAAAAAAGGGCGAGAGAAGTAAATTGTATGGCAAGCCCTTTTACTATTTATTCGTAAAATAATTTTTTCTTTCAATAAGAGAGATATCTCTTTAGCTTAGAGAGATATCTCTTTAGCTTATAGAGATATCTCTTTAACTAAAAGAGATATCTCTTTGACCAAGAGAGATATCTCTTTGACTAAGAGAGATATCTTTATAACCTAGAGAGATATCTCTATAAACAAAAGAGATATCTCTTTTTGCAAGAGAGATATCTCTTTTACTTAGAGAGATATCTTTTTAAGCTAGAGAGATATCTCTTAAAGCGAGAGAGATATCTCTTAAAGTTAGAGAGATATCTCTTTAACAACGTTAAAAGAGATATCTTTCTGAGTTAGAGAGATATCTCTTTAGATTTTCAAAAAGAGATATCTTTCTAAGTTAAAGAGATATCTCTCTTAATGAAAGAGATATCTCTTTTCAAGTTATCTTTAAAATGATATAATTATTCCTCCCTTATAATACGAAAGCGAGGCCAGACACCACATGGCAGGAAGTGTAATGTTTGATGATCATATATACGGTAGATCTCTGCCTCTGGAATAGATTCAGCATGCCCAATCCCAGAATGAAGTATGTAGAAAGAAATGCTAAATCCCTTGTTTGAAACAACAAAAGGATAATGGCTACTTTGTTGATAAACATGCTAAAGTCCTTATATTCAGGAAAACGAAAGTAGGCTAGCAATAATCTCAACTGCGATGGACCGAATTTTCTCAGCTTTTGAAATAATCAGCTGTTTCTAATTTTAAATCTAGACAACACTGAATTACTTGTCATATTTATTTAAGTTATATTGTAAAATAGGTCAAATTTAAAGACTACTTTAATTAACTTCCTCGTCGAAATCAAGTTGGAGAAATCGGGTGGGGTCTATTCCGTTGAACAGTGAACTTTTGCTGAATATTTTTATTGGGCGTAATTAATGTTGTTTTGTGGAAAAAAAGTGGGGAGATTTGCTCCCAGCCAACCACCAGCAATTCTACAATTAGCCCCATTACGTTCTGATACTCATGGTTTAATGCACAGGTGCTTGGGGACAGGACCCCCCCCCCCATCAGGCCCGTTGCAACGATTTCAAAAGGCGAAAGGGGGGGGGGGGTTAGCAACTTCTCCAAAAAACATTAATGGCTCTCTGAATTATATTTTTCATGATTTTTTTAAAGCATTTGTTGATGTATAATGCAATATAAAAATTTACAATTGATGCAATAAGCTATACATGTATATGTATCCAGAGATATATATGTCTCTGGTATCTGATGTACCCCCCCCCCCTCCAAGAAAAATATAACCTCTCTATTTATATCATTGGTATATTTTTATACATAGCTTATTAATGCATTAATTATGAATTTTTATAGTGCATTATACATCAACATATATGCTTAAAAAATCAAAAAATAACTTGGGAAGCCCAAAATTTTAGAGGGTTGGGGTGGGTTGTGTTCCTGTTCCCTTGAAGCACCTGTGGTTTAATTATGTACCCGGTACATTTTGTCTCTTGTCTTTTATACAATAAGCAGAACTCTGATTGATTGCAAAGATCAAAAATATGCGCTAGTCATTATCCTTCAATAAATTGCACAAAAAATTAACAAATTTAAATAAATTCAGTCTAGCTAAAATTAGATCTTTATTCCGCTCCAACAAGATTGCTACACATTGCGATCTAGTTGGGTCTAATTTTAAATTTTTTCTGCTCTCACTAAAGGAAAGGGATCAAGACATTCTTTGATTTTGATGCAAATTCTATTGCATGAAATGGAAATAAAAATTATAATAATCGATTACCAAGTCATAATTGCAACACTTCTTTTATGGAAATCTATAGCTTGAACTTGTTTTTTTTTTTTTTTAGAAGTTTGAAAATTTGCCTTAGCAGAATAGAAATACTTTCCTTGTCATATGAAATGTAGGAGAATATAGGTACCCCTTTATCTTCAGAATTTTTATGCCCTTGTCATAAAATGGTGGGGGGGGGGCATATAGTGTTACCCTGTTCCGTCATTCCGTCATCATTGAATTTCCGTTCATTATCTCGGCAACAGTTGTACACATTCAACTCAAATTTGATATATGGATACGTCATAGGAATATGCAGGTCAAGTTTGAATTTGGTCATGGTATTGACAGTTATCCCCCTTGAACTTGGAAAAGATTTAAAAATTCTCAATTTCTAATCATTATCTTGGCTACAAATGTGCAATTTACAATTTGCAATTTGAAATTTTGGCTGTCTGCAGGGGCATTTGTGGTGTTACCACACACATCTAATTTGTAAAATAAAATTCTTGCCCTTTGGTCTTTGTTTTCATTTCCCAGCAAAATTAATCTATCATGGTACATGTACATTCTCTGACAATTCCTCAAAATTTTTTTTTTATATTTTTAAAATCAAATATTTCTGAAATTAAGCACAGTTTACGGTTCAGTGCAGTCGTTTAGGGTACATACCTGAGTAATATTCCAAATCACTCTTCATTTAATTTTATTTAAATGCAAAAGGTGTAAATAATTTTATGCCAGAAATTGGCTGTTTGGTATTGACAGAAAGCAGTTTCAGTGACTATGACACAATTCATTGAGTATACCTTCCATAAAGTAACCATGACTGGGAGATTTTTTTTAATCTCTGATATAGTGTAAAACAGGTCACTTCAAATAATTTGTGTGATGCAGGTTGAGACATCTGAGTTGTGTCCCCTCCTTTGTCATAATGCCAGCTAGTGTAAAGATGAGATTGATCAATGTACTCTAAGCTAACTAGACCTGGTGTATTCCTAAGGGAATAGAGAGCCAACAGGTATTTATTCTTACTGATTGCATGACTAATTATTAATAAAATATATTAATCATATCTTAATGAATTCCATCTGTTCAACAATCTTTGATTTACCTCATTACTTAAAAAAATGTTACACAGAGGAATTGTCCATTACAGAAAGACAACTATAGTTGTAAGGGTCCAATCACTATGAATCAATTTCATTGAACATTTATATGGGAATGGGATATAACTCAGTCAACAATATTAGTTTTCTTTATAATATCTTTAGCTTTCAAATTTTATACATGTTTGGCCACAGAAGGAAGACAGGTAGTTTATGAGATCACACAAAATAAGTTTGTTTGTTTGTAGACCATTCTGCGTCATCACATTTATGGTGATGTGTTAAATACACATAAATAAATACATGTATAACTTTAATTCACTCTGTCTTACAAATTAAAACCGTTCAATATTATATACAGAAGTAGTTGATGAAAGGTTGACACCTACATACACTGTAAATGAACTTAAAATTTAAGAAATACCAGGTACATGTTCTAAGATTGAATTGTGTGTCTTTCAAGGTTGTTTACTTCCATAATGAATTAATTAATTAAACCCTTAGTTTGGCCCTCTCTCACTTTAATATTTTTAGCTCACCTGAGCCGAAGGCTCAAGTGAGCTTTTCTGATCACATTTTGTCTGTAGTCCGTCTGTCTGTCCGTCTGTAAACTTTTCACATTTTCGACTTCTTCTCCAGAACCACTGGGCCAATTTCTACCAAACTTGCCACGAAGTATCCTTGAGTAAAGAGAATTCAAATTTGTTCAAATGAAGGCCCACGCCTTCTTCCAAGGGGAGATAATTATGAATTCGTGAAAATTTAATGGCATCATTAAAAAATCTTCTTCTCAAGAACCACTGTGCTTGAAAATATGAAACTTATATGGAAGCATCCTCAGATAGTGTACATTCAAGTTTGTTCACATCATGACCTCCGGGGGTCGGGTGGGGCCGCAATGGGTGATCAAAGTTTTACATAGGAATATATAGGAAAAATCTTCTTCTCAAGAACAGCAAAGCCATGATTGGTCTTATTTACATGGAAGCATCCTGAGGTAGTGTAGATTCAAGTTTGTTCAAATCATGACCCCTGGGGGTCGGGTGGGGCCACAATGGGCGATAAAATTTTTACATAGGAATATATAGGAAAAATCTTTAAAAATCTTCTTCTCAAGAACAGCAAAGCCATGATTGGTCATATTTAAATGGTAGCATCTTCAGGAAGTGTAGATTCAAGTTTGTTCAGATCATGACCCACGAGGGTCTGGTGGGGCCACAATGGGCCATCAAAGTTTTACATAGGAATACATAGTAAAAATCTTTTAAAAAAAACTATTTCTTAAGAACAGCAAAGCCATGATTGGTCATATTTATATGGAAGCATTCTTAGATTAGTGTAGAATCAGGTTTGTTCAAACATGACCCCTGGGGGTCGGGTGTGGCCACAATGGGTGATCAAAGTTTTACACAGGAATACGTAGGAAAAATCTTTAAAAATCTTCTACTCAAGAACAGCAAAGCCATGATTGGTCATATTTAAATGGAAGCATCCTCAGGTAATGTAGATTCAAATTTGTTCAATTCGTACCCCCCCCCCCTTGAACCACTTTTATATTTAAACTTTTCAACCTTTCAAGACTAAACTGATTTCTGCTTTTTCCTAGCCATAGTGCTCAGGTGAGCGATGTGGCCCCTGGGCCTCTTGTTTTTAATTTTATATTATCTATTCCTTTATTTGCTTGGCTTGACATTGAATGATCAGTTACATTACTACATTTTGTTATATTTATTTTTGAAATAATAATTTCACAGGTGAATCACAAGAAGCAACTACCTAAACAAAGTTGAGAATCTGAGGGTGTCCTACCAAACCTATCCTGTCCTGTTTGAAGAATTCCAGGCCAAGAAAAGTGATGCACAGACTTCTATACTCTCTGAACATTTATTTGTTTTTAAATATCTAAAATTGTTTGAAAAAGTTTAATTACTTACTTGTACTGTGTATATGCATGCATGTATCCACATTTCAACAATGACAAAGCAATTTATTCCCAAGTCAATAAAACAATGTATCAGTGTTTTCAATATCTTTATTTGAATTCAAGATAAAAAGGTTATTACTTGTGTTTTTGTGTACTGGTAATACATGCTATGAAAAATTGTAATATCATAAAGTATAGTCGCCCTGATGCTTATACTTAAGTGACTTTTTTTTATTTAAGAGGGTCTTCTCAAGTTAAGTCAGTAAAATCTAAATCTGCAAAAATTCTATCATTAAGGATTCAAAAATACCTTCCAGTTATGGCTGAATTGTCATGGATTCTACCTGCATGTATACTATAATTGAACTATGCCGATATAATTCAATAACTGTGAACAAACTCCAACATTATACCCCCTATGCATTTTTTTTTGAAAATGCCAATATCAATTTTCTAAATGTGACCTTGAACTTGCCAAAATGATACTGGTTAAGAAAGAAAAGATGCATCTTCTATTCATCATAAATCTTTAAATAAAAGGGAGATATTTACTGTTTCTCCATTAAGACATTACGGACCTGACATGAGCAATTTTTTTTGCCTATGTCCTTGAACTTGCCACAATATCATGCGTAAAGATTATGATGTACTTTCAGCTTACAAATAATCTTTGAAGTTTCCAGTTTCAATACTTATCCATGAGGGAGTAATGAAATGAAAACAAATTTCACACATTTACTGCCAGTAATCTTGACATTGGATAAGGTCATGAAACACCATTTAGTCATAAGCAATCTTTGTGTCAAGTATCATTTGCAAATTATGCATTTGACAAAGGTAATACACTTTTTCTGCCAGTTACCTTGAACTTGCTTAAAAATGACCTTGATTTAAGATCAGTCATAACCGCAGGTCATGCTCAATATTTGTGATAAGTATGAGCCTCTAAATGTTCTCAATTACAAGATATAGTCAAACAGGAATTATAGATTTTTATAAATTTTTTATTTTATAAAATCACCTCAAACTTCATCAAATAACCTTGGGTCAAGGCCATCACACAAATATTCAATTTATGCATGAGGCACAAACTTCCAATGCTTCTTCAATAGGAAATCAGGGTTTGGGCTACGGTCAGCCTTTTCATTCAGCCCTCACTCAAAAAAGTGTAAGGTAAATATGAACAACATAAAGAAAAGAAAATGAAAGAAACGACAAAAATTTTAAATTACTTATAGATGAATGAAAAATGAAACTTATACTTGTGTATTTGGAGCTAGAATTGAAAAAAAAAAATCTTAAGTTATAAACTTGACTGCCCTTAAATTGAATGTATTGTGTAAAAATATTATACATGTGAAATATTCTACCACTCTCTACCATTGGCCCGTACATGTCTGAGAGAGGAACAAATGACAACTCTGCATAGGAGATTGATATCCTACAAGTTTAAATAAGGTCCACAGTATCAGTAATCATAATAAAAAAACAATACTAACATCACATGTAATTTTTTTTCTGTAGCCAGAAGATTAATAATAGGACAATAATTTCTTCTTGGGTTGCAGTTTTGTTGAAGTGTATACAGTGAATATTTAAATTATGGTCACTTGACATAGGTGGAGTAAAACCTCTCTTATTGATAAAACTTGGATATTTCAGAGTTCCACAGATCCATATAGGGCATTCAGGTGGGTTCAATTTCTGGTGGCCAGAAAGTTAAATTGGTAGAGCAAATGACTACTGATTCAGGGGGCCCTGACTTGAATCCTGGTCTGGTCCATACACCCCATTGCTTATCTCTTTTCTGTCTATGCAAAGAACTTGACAATGCAGACTTTCCTCAATGATAGAAGTGCTTGTCTCTGCAGACTGTGCTTGTGACCTACACATACACAAGGAAAAATCTTTTAAGACTGTAAGAGAACATAGTGTCTTTTTGAATTGATCTATTTCATGTTTCAATGTTGTTAACAGCATATTTCTAAGTTATAATAAAAAAATGCATACACATGTAAAAATCAACTTGCACTTTTTCAGGTAATCATATTGACTTGTTACAATCACTGGTATCTTGGACATCCTTCGCATTCAAAGACAAGTGTCACAGAAAGTGTGTTGGACATACCCTTGTTGCACTTCATATCTGAAACAATGACAGAAAAAATTTGTAGGGGATGTTTCATTAATCATTACATGTAACTGATTTTTTCAAATTAAATACAGTGGTCTGCAACTGCACTAGAAAAACATGAAATCAAAAGGCCCATGGCCACAATGATCACCTTAGTCACTATGGCCATGTTGTTCTTTATAAGCAGATCCCCCCCCCCCATCTTCCGAAGTAAAACTTGATTGTTTTGCCTGTTCTAGCTGGCTCAACCCTAGCCCCTGGAGACATGAGGATCCCAGCTTCCTTAGAAATATTACTTATCTTTTTATTGTTCTTGAGAAGAGATTTTTAAAGATTTGTTTCCATATATATTCCTTTGTAAAACTTTAATTGCTCATAATGGCCCCACCATACCCCCCATGTCATAACTTGAACAAATTTGATTGAACGTACAATACACAACCTAATGCTTCCATGTAAATACAGCTGAACTTCAGTATCGAGAACACTGATATCTCGAATACCATGGATATGTCGAAGTCCCAATTGCTTACTGTTTAAGTAATATACCCTTGATATCTTGAATCCTCAGATATCTCAAAGTTTTTTCTTGGTCCAATCGAGTTTGAGATAATGAGATTTTACTGTATGAACAATTATGCCTTAGCTTGATTGAGAAGATTCTATAAAAAAATTCCTACATATTCTAATGTAAAACTTGATCACCCATTGTTGCCCCATACTACCCTAGAGGGTCAATTAAGCTATGAATGATCATGAATCTACACTATATAATAAAGCTTGCACATAAGTTTCAACTCACCTGGCCCAGTGGTTCTTGAGAAAGATTTACATTTATCAAATATGTCATAAAATTCTCACTAAATATCTATTATCTCCTATTGAAAGAGAGCGGGACCTTCAATTTGAATATCTTTCATTTGATCCACAAATTTAGATCAGAATTCAAAGCTCAATTGAGCCTTCAGCACAGGAAAGCTAAATATGTTTCAAAATTAAGGGAACAATCATTTCATTCTAAGAAGGGGGAACAGAGGGCTATATTTCAAGTCAGCTTATTTCTTTCCATACCAGTGAACGACAAACTAACTATTTTCAAGATGATAAATACAGAAAATTATATATATTTTTTCTTCACTTATAAGTTACATGTATAACATTTTAACCCCCCCCCCCTTACACACACACAAAGGAGGGGGGGGGGACAAATTATTTGTTTTCAACATATTGAGGTTCAGATTATTTATTTCCAAAATCTGCAAGTCACTTCCTCCTTTCAGAATCAAATGGTCTACTCGCTTTCAGGCACTTGTTTCTGTAATACTTTTTTCTAACCCACAGTATGATAGTATATTAATAACATAAGGTATCCAACTCGTATGCAGGTAACGATCACAGGATGTGCTTCCGGAATATAAACAATGTTAATAAAGAGAAAGAAATATTTGTAGATCTACTAAATTGTATCAGTCATCACGATGGGTTTTAAAATATACAGGAGCAAGCCCCTGTTATACGTTTACGATGTTTCATGATCGGCTAAGTTTCTTACTCTGAACTTCTTTCCATTAAATCAGTTGATCAAGCACTTGTAGAGGGACAGCTCCCTTTTTGTGTCGTATCTTGGGGTCATTGTTACACCTGCAAGTCAGTAATTTGCTCACAAATACCATAAAACACCACATGTTCTTTTTTCTCGTCTCTACTTTCGTTTTGATTTAATACATTTCCATGCATATAAAGCTTACTTCCGGTAAAGGGAGCAGTCATTAAAAATGCTTTTTAAATAAAAATAATGTAGAGAGAAATCTCTTAACAGTAAAGAGATATCTCTTTTTGCTTGAGAGATATCTCTTTTGGACACTTTTGAAAGATATCTCTTTCACTTTGAGAGATATCTCTTAAGATAAACTTAGAGAGATATCTCTTTTACTTTGAGAGATATCTCTTTAACTTGGAAAGATATCTCTCAAAGTAAAAGAGATATCTTTCTAGGTGAAAGAGATATCTCTCTAAGTGAAAGAGATATCTCTTTAACGCTAAGAGATATCTCTCTTAACGAAAGAGATATCTCTCAAAGGAAAAGAGATATCTCTTTAAGTGGAAGAGATATCGCTCTAAGTGAAAGAGATATCTCTCTTAGTGTAAGAGATATCTCTCTAAGTGAAAGAGATATCTCTATCTTAGAGAGATATCTCTTTAAGTTGAGAGATATCTCTTTAAGTTGAGAGATATCTCTGTTTTTTAAGAGATATCGCTCTAAAATAAGAGATATCTCTGTAATTTTTAGTGAAAATTTATTTTACGAATAAATAGTAAAAGGGCTTGCCATAAAATTGCCTTCAATTAACCCACGCACATAGCATATTCAACTTAGAGAATTAGTCGACCATGTCCTTAAACTCTGAGGCTTGAATATTTAAATTCAAAAAGCGAGACAGATGTTTCATTAATCATGTGTCCCATTATATACTACCTGCTTAAGAAAAAAGAAAATTGTCGAAAAATAATTAATTTTTAGACACTAGACTCAGCTTATATTCATTCCATCCCGCTTGGTTCCAGAAACGTGGATGATAAATGAAATTGTATTTTTTTTTCCGGACTTCCATTGCTCATTGTAAGCTTGCCTACATTTTAAAAAAAAATGTTCGATGCATGTCTAGGAGAAAATATTTTTTTAAGATTTAATGATTTATCAGCTTGGTGCCGTTCTTGAGGTCATTATGCTGGGGATGCATATTTTACAATTTTAATAGATAGCTTTTTTGCTTAAGGAGCTTATATAGTGTATATAGGCTATACT